TATGCGTGCTTATGCATATCCATAAGATTTTCATATTTAGGAATATAAACGGGAAAAGTGCCAAAAAAGTCCTAAACCTTTTGCATTAGTGTCAATTTAGTCCTAAACCTTTTTTTGGTGCCAATTCAGTCCTAAACCTTTTGCATTGGTGCCAATTTAGTCCTAAACCTTTTTTTTGTGCCAATTGAGTCCTAAACCTTTTGCATTGGTGCCAATTCAATCCTAAACCTTTTGTCTTTGTGCCAATTCAGTCCTTCCAGTCAATTTTGGCCGGATTTTACTGACGTGGATGCCAACCGGCTGGCGGCCGATCACCGGCACTGATGTGGACAACTTTAATAGTTTTTAAATATTTTTTTTGAATTTTTATTAATTTTTTTCTTTTTTTTTCTCTCCCCTCCTCCAGAGGCCGGCGCCGGTGAGGTCGTGCCTCGCCCAGCCTCCGGCGAGGCTCGACCTCGCCAGATCCGACGAGGTCGGGCCTCGCCCAGCTGCCGGCGAGGCTCGCCCTCGCCAGCGACGGTGAAGGCGAGCCTCACCATGGCTGGGCGAGGCCCGACCTCGCCAGATCCGGTGAGGTCCTGCCTCGCCCAGCCGCCGGCGAGGCTCGACCTCGCCAGATCCGGAGAGGTTCGGGCCCGCCCAGCCGCCGGGGCGAGGCTCGCCTCCGCAATGACGGCGAGGCGAGCCTCGCCATGGCTGGGCGAGGCCCGACCTCGCTAGATCCGGCGAGGTCGTGCCTCGCCCAGCCCACGCAGGCCCGACCTCGCCGGATCCGGGCGAGGCGGGCCTTGCCTGAAGACGACGCCGACCTGAGCCTTGGCGCGGCCTCCGGCCACCGACTGAGTCGCTGGCCCGGCGACCGCCTAGAGGAGGGGAGAGAAAAAAAAAGAAAAGAAAAAAATTAAGAAAAATTCAAAAAAAATATTAAAATACTATTAAAATTGTCCACGTCAGCGACGGTGACCAGCCGCCGGCCGGTCGGCATCCACGTCATCAAAATCCGGCCAAAATTGACCGGAAGGACTGAATTGGCACAAAGACAAAAGGTTTAGGATTGAATTGGCATCAATGCAAAAGGTTTAGGACTCAATTGGCACCAAAAAAAAGGTTTAGAACTAAATTGGCACCAATGAAAAAGGTTTAGGACTGAATTGGCACTAAAAAAAGGTTTAGGACTAAATTGGCACCAATGCAAAAGGTTTAGGACTTTTTTGGCACTTTTGAAAATGATTTCGCAAAATAATGTTCTACTAAAAGATAAAAGATAAAGGTAACAGGCATGAGGCAAAATTAGTGTTACTAAGTCCTTCAAATCCAAAATCTCCGGTTAAAACACTAGTATTATTTGATTAAGAGAGAAAGCAAGTTATGGTAAGTAGAGTTTGGAAGAGCTCAGGCAGAGTGTAAGCATCACCTTAGTAGAGGCTTACACATGCTCGCCTTAACATCTATTAAACCAATCAGGGATTCATCTCGAAAGGATGGCAGCAGATGTTTGTTTCCATCTTTGTCCTTCTATGTGACATTCCGAATTTCGACCCATTTTTGGAATTTATAAAACGTGTAATTCGTCAGTGTGCTTATAGTAAAATCTCGCCCGGGAACTGATCACTCTCGGTTATCGTTTTTAAATTGAGATTTCGCTATAATCGCATTCGATCGAATTTGGCCGTTATTTAGAGCTCGAACTTTGGTGTCGAATTTTTGGAGTTTCGTGACGAATTAAATTGGACGGTGTCGATATTATTGTGGCCAGCCTCGAGTTTGCCTAGATTAGTCGGAAAGTGAAAATTTGGACCGGGTGCGGATTTTGACCGGTAAACCTCCCTCTAGGTTTATTTTATTTAGTATCCGTTGATTTTTCCTTAGTTTATAATTAGAATTTTTAGTGAGCCGTTAGATCGTTTTCGGGTTCGAACGTGGATCGTCGGATCGCGATAATTGCCGTTGACTCTCTCTCTCTCCCCTCTCTCTCTCTCCTCTCCTCCTTTCCCGCCGAACACCCCACGCTTGCTGACCCTCACGTGCTGCTTCTTCCTCTGCATGATTACTTCTACTGCTGACTTCTTCTGCTGACTTTGCTGCTGCCCCACGTTGTTGACCTCCCCATGCAAAGCTGCCATGATGGACTTCCCCGTCAGCCTCGCTGCCGTGTTGCTTCTGCTCCGCCCATGCCATTTCTGGCTTGCTTCGCTTCCTGCACTGCTGATTGTTTCTGCCTCTGTTTCTGCTGACTTGCTGCTGACTTCTTGCTGCACCTTCACGTGTGCTTTGCTGGCCATTGACCCATGCTGCCCCATGCCGCTTCACGTGCGCTTCGTCCATCATTGCTGCTGCCGCTGCTTCTTCTTCTCTTTCGCTGCTTCTTCTTCACTTCGTTGCTGCTGTTTTCTTCTTCATTTTGCTTCTTTGCTTCTTGCTTTTCTTGCTGCCGCTCACCGACCGACCAGCTCCCTTGCTCAGCCGCCGTGAGTGCCAGCGCTCGCCCGTCCAGCTACTGTGAGCTCAGCTCACCGCCGGAGTTGCTGCTGCCTCTTCTTCTTGGTTTGCTTGCTTAGGATTCCTAATAAGTGGCTTCCTAACCCTTGACTAGGCTAAGGGGTGACTAATGGACATGTTAGGGATGGTTTAAGGGCTGTGGATAGTTGGTTTAGTGGCTGGTTGTGCTTGGTTTGCTTGGTGGTGCTTGTTGGTTGATTTCCGGTAAGGTTGCTGCTGCGTCGCTGGTTTTTTTCTATTTTTACTGTGACTGTTGTAGGCCGAATTTGAGGAAGGTTTCTTCGTGAAAGTTGTTCATAACATCTTGATGTTTGACATAATTTAATTTTGGAATTTTTGGAAGTCATTTGAGGCCATTCGGAAGTCCATCTTTGGATCGAAATAAGTCTGCCGGAAACACTGTTCCTCCGACCTTCGGGTCTGTTCGAATTTTTATAAATTTTTCTAGACCTATTTTCAAAATACTTCCTTCACAAAACTTGTTGGATACATTTTTGGTTATGACATATAAAAATGTCAAATCGTTCTAAGGAGATTTGGTTACTACTTGAAATGCATTTTGGAAGCCGGATGGCCAGTCCGAATGAAATGTTTTATGTCCGATTTTGGATGACAAAAAGAGGCGGTTCTAGACAGAAATGGATTTTGTGTTCTTCATGAAAAATGTTCATCAAGATGTTTTGTATAACATATGCAAATTTCAGAATTTTTGGAGTTGAATTACTATTTGTTTCAAAGAGATTTCGGTTGTTGCGCAAACTGCCCAGAATAGCCCGAATGTGTGCAATTCCGGTTTTCTCTCTCTCGGGGACTATTCGATGTTATCGTGGCGTTTGACGGATTTAGTTGACATTGGGCTAATTTACAAAGATAAGAATTGATAATCATTGCTGAGGTGTGTGCATGGTCACGACACGTTCCGTCTAGGCGGGAGTTCTAGACGATGCCGTTGGATACCCGGCTTGCCGGGGGGTGTTCGATCCCAGACGATGCCGATCGCGGTGGAGGCCGGATCGATGCTCCTAAGTGGAATGCCGTTGGGTACCCGGCTTGCCGGGGGGTGTTCGATCCCCAACGTTGCCGTCGCCGACGTAGCGGGACGATGCCTGGTTACGCCAGAAGACCGGCGGGAGTTCGGTGGCCCGAGGGGTCGTTAATAATCTGGACATTTATAAACGTGTGCTATGCATTGGAGAATGCCATGATTGAATTTAATGTTGAGCACGTCTGGGTTATTAACCGTGTTATGCATGATTATGCCTTGAATTGCATTGTACAAGCTTGATGAGCAATTGGCCGTGTTATGGCGATATTCTAATGTGCAGGGCTTGTGTATGTGCCGAGGCGAGGTAAGGACGCCTGTGATTGTTTATGGCACGTCGATTGTTTGAATCGCATGTTTAGAATTGTTCGGAAGTACGCTTTGGCCTAAGCGAGGCTTAGGTAGTTGCTTATTGAGAAGTGTTCTCATGGTTGTATAACCAAACCATTTCAGACCCGCGACCGTGATTGATCCGGAGACGCTGCCAGAATACTACGGGGATTGAGGATAGGTTGAGTTAGCTCATCTTTTGAGTGCCCCTTTTTGTAGAGGAGTTAAGCTTACCAACCACCCGATCCTTGTTGTTGTGCGTGGTTCGTAGATAGTGGCCTCGTAGATGGCTTGCAAATGTATGTGTTGTAATCAATGTTATGTTTATAAAAGTGTCTTGTTAATGTGTATTCTTTGTCTCTCTACTATCCCGTTGTTTATATGTTGTTTGGAGAGTTTGAGGTTGCTTCCGCGTGCGTTGCTCGTTAGTGTTTTGATTGGGTCGGCGACAAGTCCTGGGATGTCGCGTACATTATGACCACAAAGGGATGATCGCGCGCTCGTTCGGGTTCGGGGCGTGACATTCTATACGGCTCTGGACTCTCCTTAGTCACTATAGGTTGTATTGGGCCAATTTTTCTATAATGAAGAACTTATCTAGCGATCTCGGTTCTAATCATAATCTTTCGTGGTAAATTCTTATGAGTAGACTTTTTGTGCTAACTTATGAGTATAGCCTTTTTTATTTGATCAAGAGATTAAATACTCTAGTTTCTCTTTAATTTCTTTTATAAAGTAGTATAAATACAAAATTATTGGAATTAAAGTATCTTACGATATATTAAAACTCGTGGCTTGAAAAGTTATTATTGAAAAAAAGACGGAGATGCTTTAGGGTACGTTGTTTCTTCAATTTGAATTTGATATTTACCACCTTTTAATTGTTTGAAGTTACATAGTGCAACATTTTTCGAAATGATTTGCAGTTTAAAATCAAAATCTCATTTCTAAATATTAACAGACTCCCACTATCATTTTTATGAAGTAACTGAAATATACAATATTGTTCAGACATAAACATGCTGGTATAACGAAATGCCTATGTTACAAGACACTATGTTTTTTCGACAAACGATGCTACAACACTCAACAGTCTAAGCGACATAGAAATTGATTTACACAATAGATATATAACATGATATGACAAATTCTTATTGGATGCTTAAGTATGTTTGGCTCGTCAACAAAGCTTGGCAAACAAGGGCCTTCCTAAATCCTTCTCGTTCACTCCACTTGAAATGCAACAGCCTTCTCCGGTTGAAGCTTCATCCTCTCTAAATATGACTTTCCATCAAGATTCTGGGCAAAGTAGCCTTTGACATATTTCTCCAACTTTATCCTTCTAAACAACGCTGGACTTTCCGCAGTCGTCAGAGATTGGATTGGGCCAATTTCTGAGTCTGGCTTAGGGTTGAAGAACATAGCAATTGAGATCCTTTCTCTTGTCGTGTTCACTGCGGCTCTGTGCTCCATGCTTTTGTAAAGACCATTGCTAAGAATCTGCAATTATAAGCAAAGGAAAATCATATAATACGAGTGCAAACGGGCTATGCTTCAAGGAAATTTTTGGCCCGCCCGGAGAAAAAGGAAAAAATGGACCTGGTAGCATGGCCTTAACCCGAAAAAACCAGTCTGAGCTGACCAGGCCGATTTGGTCTTTCATGCTTTCAGATTAATTTGAATACTCCGAGTAAATTCACCGAATTACTCGTATGATACGTTCATGGTTGTTGAAATTTGTATGAAATGCCTTTTTGTGACAAGATGCCTTTGTACTTTCAATGGATATGGCGAGTGGTCCACTGAACAAATTTAAGGCTAATGTTTGATACAAAGGAATAGAAACGAAATTGGGGTCTCGAGAGTTTCGAACTCAAGTTGTCCTACACCAACATCATATAGAAGTTGTGACATCTTAGAATCTGTTTACGTTGACTTTTACTCTCTTTTTTTGGGTCTAATCTAATTCTTGTGCTTCACACTGTTTGACCTTTTTGAAATCCAAAATACTTGATATTTTTATAATATACAAACATTGACACATAAATTCACACAAATTTTATGAAAATTTTCAAATTATATAATATTTAAATTTTAGCGAGAAATCAAGAAAATACTTTTCACTTTTACTGAATCTTGAATAAACAAATCCTAAAACCTTAACTGACAGATGAATACATGATTTAATATTAAATCATGTAATGATCAATGACATTGTCATCAAAATCAAAATTATTTGAAACTAGCACAAGGGAAGGATTATAGTCATCATCACCTTACCTCCAAAAGAAACTCATTTAATAATGACGCACTAAGTTGTTCGAGGTAATACAAGCTTTTAGCTAAAAAGGGGCAAAAAAATATTGTTTAGACTGAATATGTGGTGATGCGACATGTAAACTTATGTTTTTTCAAGTGACCTAAAATGGGTCTAATAAGTTCTCTAATCGAGATATAGTAAAATGAGCCTAGACGATACATACTCGCTTAACCAAAAAATAAAAATAAAAATGGCATGCTTTAGTAAGAGGAAAAAGATAAACAAGTTAAAAAATTCCAAGATTTAAGGAGAATGTTTGCCAATCTAATTTTGTTTGGGTCCAATCTAATTCTCATGCTTCACACAGTTTGACCTTTTTGAAATCCAAATACTTGACATTTTTACAATATACAAAAATGGACACGTAAATTCACACATATTTTTTGAAAATTTTTAAATTATATAGTATTTTAAATTTTATTAAGAAATCAATAAAATACTAATGACTTTACTAAATCTCAAACAAACAAACCCTAAAACCTTAACTGACAAATGAATACATGATTTAGATATTAAATCATGTAATGATCAATGACATTGTCATCGAAATCTAAATTTTCTGAAACTAGCAGAACCTAAGGATTATAGTCATTATCACCTTACCTCCAAACGAAACTCATTTAACAATGATGCACTATGTTGTTCGAGTTAATTAACATGCGTTAAGCTAAAGGCAAAAATATTGTTTAGACTCATGTGACATGAAAACATATGTTTCTTCAAGTGACCTAAAAAAGGGTCTAATAAAAAGATAAAAACAAATTAAAAATTCCAAAATTGAAGGAGAATGTTTGCCAAAGCAAGAAAACGGTACCTCCATGACATCTCCCACATTCACCACAAATGCATTTGGTAGAATGTGAACAGGTGTCCAAACTCCATCCTTTTTAATTTGGAAGCCGTCGACACTGTTGATTTGGTGGAGGATGGTGATGCCAGTAGCATCCGAGTGCGGTGTCATCCCGACAACAACCTCCGGCTGTGGGCATGGAGGATAGTACGTCAGCCGCATAGCTTGAAAGCCATCGTCAAATAACTCTTTCATCTCATTTATCTCGATGCCTAGGCATTTTGAAATCAAGCGAAGTAGCTGCATGGCCAGCTTTTGCGTCTCCTTAATGTAAGAGTCTAAGGTGTTTCTGCATGTGAAAGGAAGGTATTAAGTATTATTGTCATGTTCGCAAATTGTGGAATACTCTTGTCTATGATAATACGACATATGAGTCAATTCAAATGTACCCTTAGATCAGGTGAATCCTACCCGAGGGCCACCTTTTGCCGCATGCATGCCCACACGTAATGGAGAATTATTCTCACATGAAATTTTATGAGCACTGAAATATTAAATTTGTTAATTATTTTCGTGTTCTGTTGTTTTGCATCTTAATATTTGGTTGCTTAGATAATAAAAAAAACTTAAAGTTTGTACTTCATATACTAGTAATATCTTAGACAAGGATGCTGATAACATCTTAGTATCTTATATTAGGAAAAATAATTATTATTATAACAGAGAGAATAGCTTTTGAAACGAAGATTTGAAAATCGGAAACCTTTTTTCTTCTCACTTTCAAGTACACTACCAAACAACAAAAAACTAATCGTTTTCCTTAAAAATAATTTTCATAGAATAGGACTCTTAGGCTCCGTTTGTATCATGAAAAATGAACAAAGTGGACAATATTTTTTTTAAATACGATCGCTTGTATCACTAACAAAAATGAATGCAGGAAAATATTTTCATCGCTGACAAAAATATTTACATATAAATTGTTGTTGATAAAAAAAATATTTTTCATTGACTAATTATTTCAAACGATGCAATCGATTATATGAAAATGTTTCCCAAATTATCCGTTTGCTGCAAAACAAACGGAGCCTTAGTCTTTGTGCAATACTTGCTCCTCTAGAGCTCACCAACATAAATCTATAGCCAGGCCATTATCTTGACGATATACACGACCATCATATCAATATAACATGTGCTTTTTTGCAATGTATAAAGACTCAAAAACAACCTGAGTGGCTGAGGGAGCTCCGGAAAGAGATGAGGTCTCCTTTTGACGACGGGGTTGACTATCATGAAGAACCTATCACCCCAGTCAAGCTTTTCTTCTGGTCGTTTGATATTCCCATAACCTTCAACCTCTCCGGTCCTTACCTCGAACTTCATTTTCTCCGACAAGGGAAGCTTGAAAAACTCTTCGATTTCATGCCTTAGATCCTCCAGCAGAGGACCTATCCCATGGTTAACCAGCTACATAGACAAATTGCCATTCTTAAATTTTAAAATTAGTAAGCTTACAGCCTTAAATATTATTCAAATTTTCCAATATAGTCTTGATTATCACCTCCTCAATTTTTCGCTTGGTCACAACATATATGATCTTTTACAAAACGAAACGATGTTAACAGAACAGCGAACGTGCACCAAACTCCTCGAAAAGGCATAGTAAATTGCAAAGAGCCATGTGCGTATAAGTGCCTTTGTCGATTTTCTGAAATTGTTGACTAGTATTCTCATATTTTATTGGTAGTTCGATCATGGAACGAGCCTCTTATCCGTTCTCAGTCAATCATGGCAGGGGAGTCCAAAAACTATTTGTGTCTATATTTTATAGAAAGTGAAACATACTATTTGATCTAACAAAATAAAAAATACAGGTTGTCCAAAAAACATTTAAAGAAAATATCAATTTGCAGCAAAAGTTGCGGAGAAAAGATTGATTTGGATTGTTTAAAGGAGGAGTAGAAATAAAAATCGTATGGAAAGTAGGATGGTTTAAAAACAAAACTCAAAGGATTACCATAGAGTTGGATGAGAAAGCGAATTACATCTGAGGCTCCATTTGTTCTACGAAAAATGAATGATTTGAAAAATATTTTCCTATAAATAATCGTTTGTATCGCTTAAAATAATTAAAATACCCAAACTCTAAGCAGGATGCTAAAATAAGTTTGCAAGGATGGACGAATTGGTTTTTTTTATAGAAGGTTTTGCTTAGAAACATGTGAATGATATTTGCAAAAACAGAGGTATGTAAGCCATAGTTTGGTAATATATGAAATACGTTTTTTTTTTTATTTTGCCCGTGTTTTTTTTTATTGTTTTCCTCTTAGCAAAAGAAAAGAAACGAACCATAAATTGCTTGACTACGGCAAATCTTGAGGTCTCCTATCAGGATAAACTGTTATGTAATTGCGTTGATGTTTCGGTCCGGTAGCACTAATCACATGCTCATAAAAAAGAAAAAACAAACTGTGAACGAAGTCAACCTTGCTACCATCTCCAAGAATTAAAACCAGGGTCATTTACAAAAAAAAAAGAAGAAAATTTGCGCTATGCATCGAATGCATATACATCTCATGCAGCTAAGTCTTTGGACGTCGTGGAGTCCATATGGGCCGACCAACGGACAGCGTCGAAGGGTTCAGGTTGCAAGGCGGAGCTTCTGTTTTTGGTTAGCCTGATTTTCAATCGTATAATTTTCACAAAATTTAAGACGACAACGAAGATGAAGCTTCAAGCCCAGGTGGGCTTTAAAGATAGATAAGAGGGAGTCTGAGAAAACCTGAAAGAGACCCAAGTCTTTGCAAGCCTCATGCAATTTCTCCAATTCAGGATCACACACAGTTTGGTCCGACGACAATTTGCCCAAGTCAATGACCGGAACAATTGGCGTTTCAGTTCTTCCATTATCAGAGATGATTTGCGGTTCTTGGTCGTGACGAACATACCTCTCTGGAACTGCCCCCATGGTTTCTTTGATGAGCTCTTGAACGCTCACCATGGAAGAACCAGTATGGAGAGGTGGTACTTGTGATTCCATTGCTTTTATTCCATGCTGAACTCGCTCTTGCATGGCGCTATTTATAGTGGGGGAGGGAGAGAGAGAAAGAGGAGACAGAGAGAAAGGGAGAGAGAGATTGGTAAATTGCGAGCGGACATGTGTACAAACGGATCATATTCAACCATCAACGACAACTCGTTGCATTACTTAAATATACCACTTTTAAATCAGTTTTAGTAATAAATAAAAAAAGTCATTTTATATGTTATATAGCGAGTTTGTAAAACATCCATGCAGATGCAGTTGAATATACAGATCCAAATGCCAAAAATTAGCCCAAAAGGAAGCTCTAGAAATAGCCATCATCACCTCACCTTTTGCTTTTTGCCTCTATCCATACTCAAGCAAACTTCGCACTCTTTCGTTTCTTCGGCATTAGGCGAAGGTCGTTTAAAATGGTTGGAACACGTGGAGCAATGGTTCCATGATGCTGGAGTAAGAAGTTTTGACAGAAGTTCTGGGAGATCTACCACAAGAATAGGCTTTCAAAGGTTGATCTTGAATCTTTTGGAATTACGAAGGATGTATCTGTCAATATAACCGTTAACATCGGTTCACACAGAAAGATCTTTCTCTATCCAAGGAAAAACTTGATAATCAAAGTTTCACACAAATCTCTCTCTGTCTCTGTCTCTCTCTCTCATCTTTCAAAGGTTTCATTCGTTTCAAATATTTGTGTTTTCTTCCAAGATTTTTCTATGTAGGATAAGCACAAATGCCCGCCAAGAGTCTACGTAGCAGCGTTAAAGAAGGAAAGAGTCTCGTGAAGAAGATGGAACTTATGTGATGTTTATTTGACTTTTAGGCTCTGTTTGTTTTCCGAAAAATGAGTGATTTGTAAAATATTTTTTCTAAAATTGATAGCTTATATTCTCACAAAAATGAATGAAATGAAAAAAAATTTCATCATTGATGAAAATATTTATATATATAGTTACAGATAATGAAATAATTTTTATTGGCTAATTATTTTAAGTAATACAGATAATTATTTTTAAAAAAATATTTTTTAATTATTTATTTTTCGTGAAACAGATGAAGTCTTGATAATAAAGCAAAAGAGATAGATGTTCTAGAATCACACATACTAGTCTTCTACAAGTATTTCAAATCGCAACAGGACATAAATAAGCTAATATGGCTCGTAGGCTGACAAGTCATTGTGCAACACCTTTTTATAAAAGTAGTGCTTTCCCTCTCCCATGTGAGGGAGAAATTGGCCATCACGATGACTCTCCACCTCTACCATGATCAAAATCCATCGTCTAGAAAGAACACGTGAGTACCTTTGAAGACTACGTACTTGACTTTTCTTTTGGTGATATTGAAGTTTCGTTTTGTTTTTCAACAAGTAGCATTATCTCTAATTGATTTAAATTAGTCTACAATTATTATGTATTGGCAGAATAGTTTTGAATCTTAATTATAAAGTAACTGTCGCTCATTTCTTGTTGTTACCCAAAATTTTGCGTGCAATTTAGGTTCGATCAGCAAATCATGCGAGGATTGCATACTGCTAAGATAGGATCTTTTTTTTTTTCTTTTTGATAATATGTCGTCTTTCAACCTTCAGGTCTATTAATTTCCATAGAGGCAGCTCCACCGATGGTGGCTTCGTAGCTCCCAAGGTTACTATTTGCAGTAATTTGACCATTGTCACATTGATCAATCATCCTTCAAAGAAGTATTTCGACATACTTACGAATCCAAGGGTATGTTCATTTTGCGAAAAATAACTTCCAGCAAAATATTTTTCGAATTTTTCAGCGTTCGGTTCACGGAACATAATCAAATCAAGGAAAATATTTTTTTGTCAATGAAAAAAATACTTTCAAAAGTGGGGAAATTATTTCCTCTTTTGAGAAAAGGAAATGATTTTCGCTCATCTTTCTTTCACCATTCATTTTAGATTGGCGATGCTTGAGCATTGCCAGAGGCCGGCGAGGCTCCAGCGTGACAAATCGACAATGCTCAAGCATCGCCAAAAGCTAGCAAGCTCGTCCCTTGCTTGTGGGCGGCGACCAACTGAGGAAAAAAAAAGAAAGAAAATAAAAAAATAAAAAGAAAGAAAAGAAGAAAAATAAAAAGAAAAGAATAAGAAAAAAGAAAAAAATTTAAAATTTAAAATTTTTTAAAAAAGAAAAAAAGATCAGAAAAATTAAAAAAGTATGATCAAAATGAGTGTACTGAGGAAAATCAAATCAAATTTTTCTTACTAAACGACGGAAAATATTTTCTACTTCATTTTCAGATTACAGCATAATACCGAAATTTTTTTTCATTTTCTTGAAAAATAATTTAATGAAACGTGACGTTTTTTGTGAAACAAACGGTGCCTAATTAATTATACCTTCTGACCTATCCAATGGTGTGAGATTGGAGTATTAAAGCGGATGCTTATTCTTATCCGTAGTTGATCAAACTCCCAATACAAGTGACCTTTTTGGTAGTAATTTATTTAATTTTGGGTACTTCCTATTGGACTCTAGTTTGTAACGATTGATGTTAAAAAAATTGATTGACGAGACTTTGTAATGATTGATGTTGGTAAAATTGATTTATGGCTACTAGAGTTTCACGTGATCCTAAGATTGATTGACGAGACTTTACTGGATTTTAAATGAATCTTGATAAAATTTTGTGCAAATGAAGAGGAAAATGAGAACCATCGAAGATGAAGATCCTTTAGTTCATATAGCAGGTCATTGTGACAGCATTGAACGTGGAAGAAAACAATAAAAAATATGATGGGAGTTGGATAGTCAAATCATGACCCAATTTATGCAAATCATGTACCTTTTAAAACTGTCAAATTAGAAATTTTTTAACCTCGACAAATGATTACGGTCACCCAACTTGTGGGCTAATTCTTCCTAGTTCCTTAGCAGAAAAAATATTTGTGACACGTTTAAAATATATCGAGGACAGTGATTATTTTATATTTCTTTTAGAAAGAAAGGGTTTGAATAAAATTGGAACATACCTCACCCATTATGGGAATATTCGATTTAAAACGCTAATAAAATGCTTATTGCCCATTGGATAAGCCCGTTTCCATAACACCAGTGGTTCAAGTGGGAAACCACAAAACTGACAACAGACCTTAGCTTTGGTCCAACCTTGGGTGACTGCCTCTGAGACCAAGAATAGATGGAAGAATTGAATCTCTGACCTTCAACTTGCGATACAAGCCTTAGGCCACACAACCAAATCCCTGGTTAGTGATTAATCTATATATTTAAGCTGAAGTGAATTTTTACTCACTTTTATAAATTTTCCAAATTACCGTTATTAGCAATAAATAATAAATACAAATACAAATACTTCTAATAACGTCATACTTTCATCCAGTTCTTTGAATAACCGTCCATTTTCATTTTATTCCTAGATTATCCCTGTTTACATGGTATCAACTTTTATACCATTTGCTTTTAATTTCATTTTTATCATGCGATCACGGAGCACATGCCCAAATTAACCTATGAGGAAAATGATTTGCCACCAATAACAAGTATCAGCCTACATATAAATCAACAATAATACATGAAATTTCACTAGAAGTTAAAAGATTATCTTTAGAAAAAAAAAATTCAACTATGTCTCATCTCCATTGGAAATTCATGACCTTCCTACGATGAGAGAAGAATCCTTCCAAAAGAAAAAAAGAATTCTACTATCTGATCACTAGACTATGTCATGTGTACCTTTAATTACGTGATTCTTACTTTGGGACCCATATATTTAGTAATTCATGATCTTGGTCTATGTTGTCGGCAGACTATGTAACTTTTCATTATGGATGGGTTCATGAACCTCTCATTTGCCATATAAATTAAATCATTGAAGTATGGGATGCCACTTTTTGTAGGGCGGCCAATTCAGTCAAAAACTATATAATTTGATTAATTTAGTTCTAAGCATTCTTCACGATTTGCCAATGTAGCCTTTTTTGCCAAGCCAAAAAATTTTGTTTAAAAATTGTTGAAGTTGACACCAGCCATCCTACACGGCATGGTTGGCTAATGTGAGCAATTTTTGCAATTTTTTAAAATTCTTTTGAATTTTTTTATTTTCTTTCTTTTTTATTTTATTTCTTATTTCCCTCAGTTGGTCAATAGCCTCGGCAAGGCTAGCAACTTCCGCCAGGCACAGGTGAGGGCAGGAACTCCCTTTCCCACTATAGGCGAGGGTGTGCAAGCCCTTGATGTGGTTAGCAACCTCCGCTAGCCATGGCCGAGGTAGCGGATCGGCGGAGGGAAAAAAGGAAAGGAAAAAAAGAAAAAAATCACGAGAGTTAAAAAATTGCAAAACTTATTTGTGTCGGCACTGGCCGCGATTTTCATAATATTGGCTATTATATTAGCAAATCGTCAAAATGTTTAAGACTAAATTTGTTAAATTGAAAAAATTAGGATTGAATTGGCTGTCGTACAATAAATTTAGGCCAAATTAAACAAATTTCCTATTAAAGCTCCATTCGTTTCCTGGAAAATGCAACGTTTTTGGAAACTATTTTCCAAAAAGTCATTTTCCAAGAAAATGACAATAGTTTTTCGGTGTTTGGCTGAGACTTAAAAATGAACTGAAAAATATTTTTCATTGTTCGGTATGGAAACTCCTCATTGCACTCATTTTAATAAATTTTAGTTTTTATTTTATTTAAAAAAATCGAATTCTTAATTATTTTTTATTTTTAAATATTTAAATATTTCTTTTTTTTTCTCTTTTTTTTCTTTTCTTTCTTCTTCTGCCGGTCGCCGGCCACCATGACGACTGGCGACTTGCCACAGGCAAGGCTTGACCTTGCTCGCCCAAGGCTGACGAGCTCGAGCCTCACCGACCTCGCGCCATATCCGGTGTTGCTTGGCCTCGCTCGACGCCAGCGAGGCTCTCGCCAGATTTGGTGAGGTGAGGCCTTGCTCGAGCCTTACCAGCCTCGAGCGAGGCCAAGCAAGACCATATCTGGCGAGGCGTGGCCAAGCCTCGCCAGATCTGGTGAG